GTTTATATAAGTCCACCAAACTATAGAGTACCTGGTTCTATATGAGTTTCCACTGAGAGTACTAATGAAGCAGTAAGTAAGAGGGACACGAAATTTTTACGTGGAAAAATCCCACTCAAGGGGACAAAAATTACGACCTACACTTGTAGGCTTTCAACTTCACTAACTTGTAATCACACTATTACAAGCCACTTTGTAATGACTCTATTACAAAAACTTCAACTTAACTAACTTGTTATACACTTATCACAAGCCACTTTGTCACTCACTAGTTACAAAGACTTTAACTTATGACTAACTCTAGTCACAACACAAACTCAGAAGGTTTGTGATTTTGGGTTTCCTAAAACACAACTTCTAAGAAAGCAAGATAGGAGTTACAATGAAGAACAAATAACAAGATTACAACTCAACTACGGATACACATAAACTCACTGTGAAACTGATCCTTGAGTGTAGTTGTCTTCTTGTTCTTGACATACTAGTGACTTCAACGCTAGATGAACTCTTTAATGCTTGAGAGAATATCACTAAATGCTCAAGTGAATATCTGGTGCCTTGTATCATGTTGTTATACTACCAAAGATATCACAAGGATGATGTAATTCTTGTTTGGTACAAATCTCTTCCCAATGGAAAGTGACTGTTGCACTGTCTACTGCACTGTCGCGTGTACAGTAGCAGACAGTCACTTTCTGTAGTTGCTTTCCAGCTGTATAGTTGACTTGTACTTCTGTTAGAGAGCACCAAGGGATCAGGTTCTTGTCTTGTTCCTCTTTTCTCTTTGTTTGCATCAGTTCACATTAGCTGGAGTTAAGGCTGGACTTCGTTCATTTGAAAAGTGTACCAAGTGTGTCAGGTTCCCTATCTGGTTCTTAACAATAAGTTTGTTAGATCATCAAAACATAAGGCAAGAACATTAAAAGCTCATCAGATTTCACTCATAAGTTGGTTCGGTCCTTCCTCGAATCCTATATATATATATGCGCTCATTCATGCTAGTCATCTTAGAGCTATGAGTCGTAACAACGTTAACCAACTCCTCCATAATAATCTTGGTGAAAATAGCATGGGATAGTTAGTTTTCGGACTGCTAATTGAAAAATAACCAGTGTTTGCAATGTCATTGAAAAATAATCATTTTGTTTAAACACGAAAAATTCAAGCATAATATGCTGGATTATGGAGCTCATGCGTATAAACTTCCGGTATCCATAATCCAGCATATTATGTTAGAACTCCGACACACGAAAAATTCCATCATAATATGCTGGATTATGGAGCTCATGCATATAAATTTCTAGTATATTATGTTGGCACTCCAACACACTATGAAATCCAGCACATTATGCTGGAATCTCATATGTAAAAAATTCGAACTCCAGCATATTATGCCGTAATTTTTCCGGAGTTTTAAGGGTGTTTTTATTCAGATTTTATCTTTACATGAAAAAGTGGCTAAATTTCGATTACTTTGAAACTATGGCTATTTTTCAATTACCTATTGCAAATCTGGCTATTTTATGTTTTTTCCCCATAATCTTGTTCATATATCGAACAAGTTTTTAGAATACTAGTTTTTGTTTTCCGCAATATCTTAAGGAATTTATGCACTCCACGGCTTTATTATATTTATAGGAATTTGAAAAGAGTTTGTCTTGATTTTATATCGCTCTCACAACTTGCACCTAATTATATTTTATCCCAAAATGTCTAATCAATTACTATGCCTCAACGCACTTCAGAAAGAATCAAATAGCTAGCTCTGAGTGCAAGTGACATTTTACCCATAATATAACCACCACTCATGGTAATCTAGCGAATCAAATTATCCTTTTTTATATATATTTATAAAATTAGAGATGGCAAAAACGTAGTACAATCAGAGACAAATCGCATGTTTAATGCGTTTACTAAGCTCCATAAAACACTCATTTTTCATGCATGAACTCTTAGTCGCACAGAAATTCCCATATAGTCGTCAACCAACGTACATTGATTAACACTTATAAGTTTCTGTCCCTTCCTTATGATTCTATTTTTTCATTTCATTTTCTTTTTCAAATATTCGTTTCTTTATTTTTATTTTTATAAAGATTATAAGGAAACGGAAAGTTTATTCATCAGTTGAACTTATTTCACCATTTGATATTTGGTTTTGGAAGGTAAGTCATTCCGCTCATCCCCTTATGTCATGGTTATATACTTATGGTTAATAAGTTTTTCTTCATAATTTAAATAGTGAAAAGAAATGTACTTACAAAGGAAGGTGATTTATTTATTTATTTACAATTTGATTTTTTTGATTAAGAGGAAAACAAAGTGAGAAACTTGCAAAAAAATTCACCTAAGTGTACTTTTAAGTTTTAACAGCTGATCATGTTTAACTTTTATCTCCATTTTAACGATGTCTCATTTATAGGATTGTTATAGTTTTCTTCTTCAGATATCACTATATAACAAATTCGAACAATTAAACGTCACATACAACTTTGTTAATCCTTGTGAACAATTTAACAAGTTAGATTTAATAAAGACAATATATCTAAAGTATTGTCGGCCCATCAAAACTTATGAACAATTGGACAACAAACGCGCCAATCAGTCAAAATTTGTGAACAAATTAACAATATATGTAGAATAAACATAATATCAAGTCTTATCAGTCTGATAAAACTTGTGAACACATAAACAATATATGCAAGATTTGTTCATGCGGCAGAACTTATGAACAATTTGTGTCAAAGTTATACTCATAACTCACCTGATATGACTTCTGAACAAGGCGGCAACTTTTATTGATCCAACAAAACTGGGAACAATTTATGCTAACTTTATAAGAAGAATTAACCCAAATAGTCGCCTATTCAACCGCATAACTAAAAATTATCGGTAGAGGTATAATATATACATAATTTATATATTATATGTGTATAATTATGTATAATCAATGTATAAACTATGTGTATGACTAGAACAAGTAAATAATGAATATTGCCGATTATTTGTGTAAAGATCCCTTTATAACTCGCCCGAAATAACTTGCGAACAGAGGCGGAGTCAGAATTTCAAGTTTATGAGTTCGAGATTTTAATTGTTTTAAGTTACTGAGTGCTAAATTAATAATTTGTACATATTTAATGATTTTTTTAAGATAAATACATAGTTCGAACCAAAGTTAATGTGTTCAGCCGAACCCGCATTAGGCTCTCTAGCTTCGTCCCTGCTTGTGAATATTTAATTTTTCCTTCTTCTGCCCGAGGTAACTTGCGAAAAATTAGAGAAATTTTGATAATGATCTTTTAGTAGTAATTAGCCATCTATAGATATCATTTGCTATATTACGGATTATAGATACCTTTTCTGTGGTTATAAGATGTATTTGATGTATTTAAGCTATTGTATTCATGAATACAATAGCAAAAATAGGCGTGAATCATGGAAGTCCAGCTAATCAGTTGTTGTATTCGAGTGTATTCGACTGTATTCATATACAATAGCAAAAATAGGCGTGAATCATGGAAGTCCAGCTAATCAGTTGTTGTATTCGAGTGTATTCGACTGTATTCATGGAGTGAAACATGGGATTACAGTTGGATAGATTATTGTATTCGACTGTATTGACGGCGTGAAATAGGGGATTACATTGTTTTTAAAACGAAAAGTGAATCAATTAACATAATAGACTCCTAATATAACTCAACAAACTCAATTATAACACACAAATTTTGTATTTTCAGTTATAAAAAAGATTCTCAACCGAAAAATATCCCAAAAATATAGCAATCTTAAGAGAAATTATATAATACATCTGAATACATAAATTATATGAATTAAAAAATCATATGAATACATTCATGGCATATAGCGAGATAGTGAATACAATGAAATACATAGAATACAGCGGGATACATTGAAATACCATGAAAAAAAAGACAGTGAATACAATAAAATAAATGGAATACAACGAGATACATTGAATTACAATGAAAAAAAGACAATGAATACAATGAAATACATGAAAATACATTGAAATATATTAACAGAAAACTAATTAAATGCCGAGCAACATACATTAATCTTCCTCAATTTGAATAAGTACTCAGAAAAAAGATGGGATCTTGGACTTGGTATACGGTCTTTACTTTCTGCTGAAAAAGGATAATCTTGAATTGAGGACAGGAAATCAGGAAATCTCCTTTCTTTGACATTCAATTGAAAGCTAAAATCTCTGAATTCTCTAAGAGGAGGAACCCCGAAAACATCATGAGTTTTCTATTTCTTGGATGTAACAAACCAATTTTCCCTATCAATTTCTTCGTCGATCTCTTTCTTGTTTGTTTTCCGTTTCACGGTCATCTTCTTTCTCTTCTTCATGCACGTCGAATTGTATGCTGCAATTTATACTCTCAAAACCCTTAAATCATAGTAATAGCAACTTCAGAAAAAGTTCATACGAACTAAACAATTCGAAATCGGCATCTCTGAAGTGGGCTTTGCACAAATCCGGTGGAAGGAGGAGGGGATCGGAAATTTTAGTGGGATGGGGGAAGAGAATGAGATGTATCAAAGTAGAGAGAGAAAGAAAATAGTAGAACTGGTTAGTGTATTTAGTGGCTTAGGGCTAGGAGGTAACCAAAATTAAATATTTTGCTATAAACCTTAAAAGGTATTTAGAGAATATAATTTTTTTAAATGGTATTTATTTAAAATAAATAAGGTGTTAACCTTTGCTATAGGAGGTAAAAATTCCAAAAAATTATGACCCGCGAGGTTATTTTTGCACAAATTCCTTAAAACGGAACAAAATTTAAACAACAGCCACTAATGATTCATTTATGCAAATCTCCCGAAAACCTGAAGACGTCTTTATGGGCCAATGAATATGGCCCAATGGGCGATTACTGGACCAAAAAACAGGCCGCCTACCAAGAATTGTCACAGTAAATTTTGGGGCCCGTTAAGAAAGCCATTATCTTCTTGAGAGAGCTATTACAGATAAGATAACGTTAGACTGTGAATACAGAAACTGAGCAAAGAGAAACAAAAAGAGAAGTAGCAAATGGCGTCCACAGCAACAACTTGTTTGCTCCACAATTATAGCTTAGCCAAAAACGCTAATGTTGAAACAGCCAAATTATCAGAGAGGACCTCAATTTTAACAATTGTGGCTCAAAAAAAAGCCAAGAAAATACGAAAGGTGAATTATTTCTTCAAAATGTGATTATCGGATTCAACTTTTTTGTGTATTTTATTGGTGGTTTTTTTTTTTATGATGGGGCAGATAATACTGAAAGAGGATATTACACAGTTGGGGAAAAAGGGGGAGCTTTTGGATGTTAAAGCTGGATTTTTTAGGAATTATCTGCTACCATTGGGCAAAGCTCAAATTGTGACACCTACACTTCTCAAGTAATTTGTTAACTTCTATTTGGAACTTTAAATTTTCTCATATACTTTTATTGCTTTAGATTCTTCTTTCATTATCTACATTTTGTTGAGTTAAAGTTTGCTAATATTGATCCATTTTCTGATTGTATTAGATGGACTAGTAAGTCTTAATGCATGATTTTAAGTGTTGAATATTCACAATATCAACCACCCTGTTTTGTTTAAATTACCAACTGAACCATGTTATTGTACTCAAGACTGTGGTTCTTCTGTCCATTATCTTATTTTCCGGGCCTCGTAATATTTGCCAGGAATCTTTGCTTCCTGACAAATCATGAGTGGAAGTATGTTATTACTATTGTCTGTGTTGTCTGATCACTCATCTATGCTGATAGACCGGTGTCGAACGTAATTAACATAGGTATGCATAATCTGTGGGATTCTTTATTATAGTAATAACTAGCTGAAAAGTGAATATACCCATGGATATACATATTCGTGTGCGAAAGTTGTACCATAATGATGCTTGATCACTGTCGATATTTCTTGAGCAGAAATATGGCAACTTTGGTGTTAGAACTCTTGGTTAGTATAAAAGCTCCGTGTAACTTTTCTGCTTATCGATTTTGCCTCTTATGATTAATGATCAAAGATTTTAAGTAAATTCACTTCTTTTAGCGAAATTTAATATTGATAAAGGATTCATCTTTAATATCTTTTTCCCACATTGCATAAGTATGGATAGTCGATTGGACATAAAGCCTTCATTTCCTACTACCTAGTCACTTGGTATTTAGAGTGAGTGATAGGTTTGACGAGCTGTTTACAGTAAGTGTTAGACCTATGGTGCGATAGTCTTGTAGAATTCTTATCCAAAAGTGATCGTCAGAGGCTCAGAGGTAATAATTTCACGATCTATATCAGTTTTATATGTCATAGGCTTTTCCCCCATGATATCTGGCAATGCTTAAAAGAGTAATCAAGCAGAAAAAGTCGCTTCTTGATATCACGATCATATTTTAGGTCATCTACATTCTATTTTTCCTTCTCACTGAATCTACACATCCTACCTGTATGTCCCTCCAAGTACTTGTCCACATCCTGCCTGAGGTTTCACAGACAAGGTATAAGAAAATAGTCTGTGAGGAAAATAGAGAGTGAGCGATATTGTAGTGAGGTGAGAATATCAAAAGAGGGTTATTTCTTTTGAGTGTTGTAGTGGTCTTTGGAGTATTTACCTCCGACCTACAAAGTGTAAAATTCCTTACTATAGTGATATCAGTTGCTCCTCTCGGGGTCGTGGTTTTTTCCCTTATTCAGAAGGGTTTTCCACGTAAAAATTTTGGTGTCATTGTTACTCTTTTATTCTTGTTAATTACCGTATCTCGGTGCTACATTATTATTCCGCTTTATTACCGTGAATATTATTTTGATAAGGGGTTTATTCCCAACAACTGGTATCAGAGCACAGGTTCTGCTCGTTCACTGAAATACTATTCACTGTCGGTAGTACTATACTTGGTGAAAAATAAAAATGTCCGGAGTAAAGTACGAGGTAGCAAAATTCAACGGAGATAACGGTTTCTCAACATGGCAAAGAAGGATGAGAGATCTGCTCATCCAACAAGGATTACACAAGGTTCTAGATGTTGATTCCAAAAAGCCTGATACCATGAAAGCTGAGGATTGGGCTGACTTGGATGAAAGAGCTGCTAGTGCAATCAGGTTGCACTTATCAGATGATGTGGTAAATAACATCATTGATGAAGACACTGCACGTGGAATTTGGACAAGGTTGGAAAGCCTATACATGTCCAAAACGCTGACAAATAAATTGTACCTGAAGAAGCAGTTATACGCCCTACACATGAGTGAAGGTACGAATTTTTTGTCACATTTAAATGTGTTTAACGGACTAATCACACAGCTTGCCAACCTCGGAGTGAAAATCGAGGAAGAAGATAAAGCCATCTTGCTATTGAACTCGTTGCCATCTTCGTACGATAATTTGGCAACAACCATCCTGCACGGTAAGACTACTATTGAGTTGAAAGATGTCACATCGGCTCTTCTACTCAATGAGAAGATGAGAAAGAAGCCTGAAAATCAAGGACAGGCTCTCATCACAGAAGGTAGAGGCAGGAGTTATCAAAGGAGTTCGAACAACTATGGTAGATCCGGAGCTCGTGGGAAGTCAAAGAACCGATCCAAATCAAGAGTCAGAAATTGCTACAACTGTAATCAACCAGGTCACTTCAAAAGAGATTGCCCAAATCCAAGGAAGGGCAAAGGTGAAACCAGTGGCCAGAAGAATGACGACAACACAGCCGCCATGGTGCAAAATAATGATAATGTTGTCCTCTTTATAAATGAGGAAGAGGAATGCATGCACCTGTCAGGTCCAGAGTCGGAATGGGTGGTTGACACAGCGGCATCTCACCATGCCACACCGGTAAGAGATCTTTTTTGCAGATATGTAGCAGGTGATTTCGGCACAGTGAAAATGGGTAACACAAGTTACTCAAAGATTGCGGGGATTGGTGACATTTGTATCAAGACAAATGTCGGATGCACATTGGTTCTAAAGGATGTGCGGCATGTACCTGATTTACGGATGAACTTGATCTCGGGAATTGCTTTAGACCGAGATGGATACGAGAGCTATTTTGCAAATCAAAAGTGGAGACTCACTAAGGGATCATTGGTGATTGCAAAGGGAGTTGCTCGTGGCACGTTGTACAGGACAAATGCAGAAATATGCCAAGGTGAATTGAACGCGGCACAAGATGAGATTTCTGTAGATTTATGGCACAAAAGAATGGGTCATATGAGCGAGAAGGGATTGCAGATTCTTGCCAAGAAATCACTCATTTCTTATGCCAAAGGTACAACGGTAAAACCTTGTGACTACTGTTTATTTGGTAAGCAGCATAGAGTCTCATTTCAGACATCGTCTGAAAGAAAATTGAATATACTTGATTTAGTATATTCTGATGTTTGCGGCCCAATGGAAATTGAATCAATGGGCGGTAACAAATATTTTGTTACTTTTATTGATGATGCTTCACGAAAATTATGGGTTTATATTTTGAAAACCAAAGATCAGGTGTTTCAAGTTTTCCAGAAGTTTCATGCTCTAGTAGAAAGGGAGACGGGTCGAAAGCTAAAGCGTCTCCGAAGTGACAATGGAGGTGAGTACACTTCAAGGGAATTTGAAGAGTATTGTTCAAGTCATGGGATCAGACATGAAAAGACAGTTCCTGGAACCCCACAGCACAATGGCGTAGCCGAGAGGATGAACCGCACCATTGTGGAGAAGGTGAGAAGCATGCTCAGAATGGCTAAACTGCCTAAGTCATTCTGGGGTGAAGCAGTTCAGACAGCCTGTTACCTGATCAATAGGAGTCCATCAGTTCCGTTGGCGTTTGAAATCCCAGAGAGAGTCTGGACCAACAAGGAGGTGTCCTACTCGCATCTGAAGGTGTTCGGTTGCAGAGCTTTTGCACATGTACCAAAAGAGCAGAGAACAAAGCTGGATGATAAATCTATTCCCTGCATATTTATCGGATATGGAGATGAAGAGTTCGGGTACAGACTGTGGGATCCTGTAAAGAAGAAGGTCATCAGAAGTAGAGATGTAGTCTTCCGAGAAAGTGAAGTTGGAACTGCTGCTGATATGTCAGAAAAGGCGAAGAATGGTATAATTCCTAACTTTGTTACTATTCCTTCTACTTCTAACAATCCCACAAGTGCAGAAAGTACGACCGACGAGGTTGCCGAGCAGGGGGAGCAACCTGGTGAGGTTATTGAGCAGGGGGAGCAACTTGATGAAGGTGTCGAGGAAGTGGAGCACCCCACTCAGGGAGAAGAACAACCTCAACCTCTGAGGAGATCAGAGAGGCCAAGGGTAGAGTCATGCAGGTACCCTTCCACAGAGTATGTCCTCATCAGTGATGAGGGGGAGCCAGAAAGTCTTAAGGAGGTGTTGTCCCATCCAGAAAAGAACCAGTGGATGAAAGCTATGCAAGAAGAGATGGAATCTCTACAGAAAAATGGCACATACAAGCTGGTTGAACTTCCAAAGGGTAAAAGACCACTCAAATGCAAATGGGTCTTTAAACTCAAGAAAGATGGAAATGGCAAGCTGGTCAGATACAAAGCTCGATTGGTGGTTAAAGGCTTCGAACAAAAGAAAGGTATTGATTTTGACGAAATTTTCTCACCTGTTGTTAAAATGACTTCTATTCGAACAATTTTGAGCTTAGCAGCTAGCCTAGATCTTGAAGTGGAGCAGTTGGATGTGAAAACTGCATTTCTTCATGGAGATTTGGAAGAGGAGATTTATATGGAGCAGCCAGAAGGATTTGAAGTAGCTGGAAAGAAACACATGGTGTGCAAATTGAATAAGAGTCTTTATGGATTGAAGCAGGCACCAAGGCAGTGGTACATGAAGTTTGATTCATTCATGAAAAGTCAAACATACCTAAAGACCTATTCTGATCCATGTGTATACTTCAAAAGATTTTCTGAGAATAACTTTATTATATTGTTGTTGTATGTGGATGACATGTTAATTGTAGGAAAAGACAAGGGGTTGATAGCAAAGTTGAAAGGAGATCTGTCCAAGTCATTTGATATGAAGGACTTGGGCCCAGCACAACAAATTCTAGGGATGAAGATAGTTCGAGAGAGAACAAGTAGAAAGTTGTGGCTATCTCAGGAGAAGTACATTGAACGTGTACTAGAACGCTTCAACATGAAGAATGCTAAGCCAGTCAGCACACCTCTTGCTGGTCATCTAAAGTTGAGTAAGAAGATGTGTCCTACAACAGTGGAGGAGAAAGGGAACATGGCTAAAGTTCCTTATTCTTCAGCAGTCGGAAGCTTGATGTATGCAATGGTATGTACTAGACCTGATATTGCTCACGCAGTTGGTGTTGTCAGCAGGTTTCTTGAAAATCCTGGAAAGGAACATTGGGAAGCAGTCAAGTGGATACTCAGGTACCTGAGAGGTACCACGGGAGATTGTTTGTGCTTTGGAGGATCTGATCCAATCTTGAAGGGCTATACAGATGCTGATATGGCGGGTGACATTGACAACAGAAAATCCAGTACTGGATATTTGTTTACATTTTCAGGGGGAGCTATATCATGGCAGTCTAAGTTGCAGAAGTGCGTTGCACTTTCAACAACTGAAGCAGAGTACATTGCCGCTACAGAAACTGGCAAGGAGATGATATGGCTCAAGCGATTCCTTCAAGAGCTTGGATTGCATCAGAAGGAGTATGTCGTCTATTGTGACAGTCAAAGTGCAATAGACCTTAGCAAGAACTCTATGTACCATGCAAGGACCAAACACATTGATGTGAGATATCATTGGATTCGAGAAATGGTAGATGATGAATCTCTAAAAGTCTTGAAGATTTCTACAAATGAGAATCCCGCAGATATGCTGACCAAGGTGGTACCAAGGAACAAGTTCGAGCTATGCAAAGAACTTGTCGGCATGCATTCAAACTAGAAGACAGTGCTACCTCCTCTGGATGAATGAGACTGGAGGGGGAGATTGATGATGTCCATCTCATTGAAGAAGTATTAGGCATGTGCCTAATAAGAGTTTTCTTTGGTTTGGTAGCCAACCTTGTTGACTTGGTTTGGTTGGTAGCCAACCTTGTTGAATTAGTTTGGTTTGGTAGCCAACCTTGTTGAATTTCTTTGGTTTGGTAGCCAACTTTGTTGAATTGTGAAAAGTGTGTGTAAATTGTCAAATATTGTAGGCTTTAGAGGGTGAAGCTTTGGCTATAAAAGGAGAGCTTCAACTCTCATTTCTTCACACCAACAAAGAGAGAAAGAAAGAGTGAGGTTTCACAGACAAGGTATAAGAAAATAGTCTGTGAGGAAAATAGAGAGTGAGCGATATTGTAGTGAGGTGAGAATATCAAAAGAGGGTTATTTCTTTTGAGTGTTGTAGTGGTCTTTGGAGTATTTACCTCCGACCTACAAAGTGTAAAATTCCTTACTATAGTGATATCAGTTGCTCCTCTCGGGGTCGTGGTTTTTTCCCTTATTCAGAAGGGTTTTCCACGTAAAAATTTTGGTGTCATTGTTACTCTTTTATTCTTGTTAATTACCGTATCTCGGTGCTACATTATTATTCCGCTTTATTACCGTGAATATTATTTTGGTAAGGGGTTTATTCCCAACACTTCAACCAAGCAGGATTTGCAATTTCATAAGTACTGAGAACAAAAAAATATGTGAAGGCTTATTAGAGATGGTATTGCTGGAAGCAGTTCAATTGAAATATTAGATAGCAGTTAGCGTGCTTTGCCTTTACTGAGATATTTACCTGTTAACTTCATGGATGAACTTTTATTTTATAACATTACGTACTTTTATTCTCAGGGAAATGAAGATGGAAGATGAGAGAATTGAGGCTGAGAAACAACGGGTAATTAGATTTCTCATTGATCCAATCTATTGAAAGTTGAAAAACAATTTTTTTTTAACTTTTAAATCACTAAAAGAGTCGACTACGCCACAGTAAATGGTTTGGTAACAAATATGGTTTTAGTTAAAGTTTTTGATCTTGAATTCAGGTGAAAGAAGAGGCACTACAGCTTGCTCGAATTTTGGAAACTGTTGGAGCCTTCAAGGTGAAGCGTAAGGGTGGGAAAGGAAAGCAAATCTTTGGAAGGTCAGTTGAGATACTAAATTGTGATGAGCAACTTTGTGATTATTTAGTCTACCTTTTGACATCAGCTCCATTGCAGTGTCACTGCTCAAGATCTTGTTGACATTATAAAAGCACAGCTACAGAGGTACTAATTTCCTATCTTTTCTGCCAGAGGATGTAGGTAGTAGTATGCGAACTAGTCACCACTTTTAAGTTCATGTTGTCTGATTCATCTGGTTTATAAAGTCATCCAAGTATTTGGGTAAACAGACTTGATCGTCATTTGATATTTTTCAAACAGTGCTTATTTCTTTTGTGATTCTTTCAATGCAACCTAAGGTCTGGTGCAACCTACTCGTTAACATTAGTCATCTAGGACAATTGAATATGCTGATTCCATTGTTCATCCATTTCTAGGGCAAACAACGTTGTTTTTTTGAGCAATATACTGCATGTTTGTACGATCGCATAGTTGCTTGCTGCTACCTCTCTGCCCCCAACAGAGAAAGAGGAGGGATAGTGAATCTGTTCTCTTGTAGGAAGAGAAGTGACATCCCAACTGCTTATTAGCAATTTTTTTTTACCAAACACACCAACTGCTTATTAGTAGTTTCAGCACTTCTCTTCAAACACATAACGGCTTATTTATAAATCAGTGTTTCAACACTTGATGCTTATAAGCTACTTTAATGAGCTAACCAAAACGGGCTTTCAAAGTCTTATAGGTAGATTAGATGTATTAACTGAGTTCCTACTTTAACTTTAATCTATATTCACACGCAATCTACTTGTAGGGAGGTGGACAAGAAAATTGTCTCTCTGCCTGAGATTCGAGAAACTGGAGAATATGTTGCTGAATTGAAGCTGCATCCAGACGTTACAGCTCGAGTAAGGTTGACTGTGTTCGCCAATTAAGCGCAGGGGCTTTCTGGAGCAGTTCATGCCAAGTTAGGAATTTGCTATGTCTGCTCTCTCGGTCAAGGTACAGTCATTTGTTGATTCCAGTGGCTATTATTCAAGCAAGGTGAATGCCTTAGGTGCTATATCAAATCCTTATTATTCAAACCATGCATTTACAGAGCACTAACTACGTGGCCCAAAAGTTTTAGGCTTTAGTTCACAAACCTAAGTTGCTAAAGTAATGACAACTATAAGAAATATATAAGAAAGGAGATATTTATTTCAGGCTTGGGCTTGTGACACGTGATTCAAAATTGCCAACAATTTTATGGTCCTCTCCCCTCTTCTTTTTGGTTTCCCGCCCGGTATCCGGTACTCGCACTGGGATCGACTAAATTCGGATTCGCGCCGGGAAGTCCCACCTTAGGAGGTGAAGTGCTCCCTATCAAAGGTGATTCCATACCCAAAGCTTGAATCCTAACAAAGGCGACTCCATACCCAAGGCTCGAATCCGAGACTACTGGTTAAGGCTGAAGGAGTATTTCACTATGAGGCTATGACTCATGATGGCAGATAAGTCAAACCCTTTTGAAGTTCCACCTTTTTTATTGGAGAACTCAAATTCTCTAAATTATATACAACTCTCTTCAAAACAAAAATCAACTTCATGTGTTCTAAGAGACTAAGACGAATATCATGACCTGCCCGTATTTTACTCTTTCCTCGTGCTGTCCCAACCCTGCTCGCATCGAATTTGGATAACGTGGTTGGTTAGGTTTGTGACAGGGATTTTGTTTGGGGATGTTACTCCTCGTAGTTGATATGCATGAATATGTTATTGTCTTGGATAAACCTGCATGCAACTTTTAAGTTGTTAAGATATACATAGTCAATACACTTGATGTAGATTTCTTATCCAGAACTGCTGTTTTCTTTTCTTTTTAATTCCATTTCAGGTAGAGGGAGGATTGCTATAAACAATGTAAACATCAGATTCAGACTCCACATATGGACCCCAAGTTTTGTAAATTAATTTTCTTCTTTTGAGATCATTTATCCTGACGTGTAACATCAGATTTCTCATCCTAAGCCTTGTTATTTCATTTGTCATTGTGGGTCTTCATTTTGTTGGTTGTTATAAACTCCCATGATTCAAATCTTGTATCTATCTCTTCTTTTCCTGTTGTTTCTTTTCAATCATTAGTTTCCAAGGTAATTGTTATATCAAGTAAGACCTTTCACGCAGGGCGGTGAAGCGGATTTAACTGAACTCATTACTTTCGGCTATGTATCACATACAAAAAGGACTTAAAATTTATACCTATAATAAAATCATAATCATTCTGAACCCATTGCCTCTAGTTCTGAATTCACATGTCTTTAAGGCGTGGGGAAGAGTGTGTGTGGGGGGGGGGGGG